CTTATAAAAAAAAATTGTGACTAAGGATTTTTAATATTTTTCATCTGCCTTTGAAACAACTTATTAGGAGCCTTCTATTAAATTTTCAAGCTTTCGCAACCAACAAATAAAATTTTATTGATATTTTAAGAAAAGAAACTAAAAAAAAATGGAAAATGAAAATGTCCCTAAACAGTTCAAAATAAATCAAAATATTTTGAAAATGTTATCGTGTATAGAAAATGCAAATAATTACAACCAGTGAAATTTTCATGTATATACGTTCATTTGTTTTAGAGTTACACCAATAACCAAAATCGATTTTTTGGAAAACCAATTTTGCGTAAAAATTCCCGTTTTTCCTTAATTTTTGTGTTGTTTTTCCCGGCGCTTGTGAAAACTACTGCGAAATTTATACTTTTGACCCCCCAAAGTACCAACTAGATTCACTTTCCTATCAGAAAAGCTACTGATGAAGAAAATCCAAGCACTTTTACTGTCCTAAAACTTGATGACAGACACAAAAATATAAATAAAAATATAAAAAAAGGTGGGCAAGTGGGTGTCGCTCTGCTGTACTGTAGGTTACAAGTGGGTCACTGTATAATGGATGGTATTAAATTTGAATTCAATGATATAATATCATTGTATAAGAAAAACGATTCTGAGCGGTGACGGTATGTCAGTCTATGTATAAGACATATTATATACATATCTATGGTATTAAAAAAAAAATTGACTTATAATAAATTCCAAATTAATCATATATTCATATCACATTATCACAATATCCATTAGGTACTTATAACAGTTATAACGCGTTATACATCAACAAAAACCGTGATACTGTCATAGATATATAATAGTACACTTTAGAAGTTTCAAGTACCCACGAATAATATTATTCAATCACAACAAAATAACTAAAATCGTAATTCTTGGTTTAAATATGAAATTTTGTCTAAATTTGAAATTAAAATGTCTGTAAAAAATAAGTGTGTTTATATATTTTTTAGATTTTTTGGTTACAGTATGAATTATTTAAGAGAATCTTTGTTTTAAATTTTCAACTCTTAGTTATAAAAACTGAACATTTTATAATTTTTTAATTCCAACGATTGATAATTTTCGAGATTTTGATAAATTTTGTCAAAATTCCAACTTTAAATGCTTATAAAAAAAATCGTGCCTATGTATTTTTAATATTTTTCAACTGATATTGTAACAATACATCAGGAGCCTTGTATTAAATTTTTACACTTTTTGGCCCAACAGATAAAACTTTATTGATATTTATAGAAAAAAAAACTAAAAAAAATTGAAAGCTGTAAATGTCCATAAACAGCTCAAAAAGAGTCAAAATATTTTCAAAATTGTATGGTGTATAGGAAATGCTAATATAAACATTTAGTGAAATTTTCATGTATCTACAGTTATTCGTTTTTGAATTACAACAAAATAAGGAAATCGCTACATGAGAAATCGAGTGAAAATCCAATGTTGTAAAAATTTGAATTTCAAACGCTCATAAAAATTTAATTTGACTGTCCGGTAGAGATTTTTTTATTGATAAAGGTAGATAATCTTATAAGGAATCTTGTGTTTCATTTTCAAATCTTAGATTTAAAAAGAAAAATTTTTACGAATTCTTAACTCAAAATAATTTGCTAATTTTCGTGATTTTTCCATATTTTGTCAATTTTTGAACTTTAAATGCTTATAAAAAAAAATTGTGACTAAGGATTTTTAATATTTTTCATCTGCCTTTGAAACAACATATTAGGAGCCTTCTATTAAATTTTCAAGCTTTCGCAACCAACAAATAAAATTTTATTGATATTTCTAGAAAAAAAACTAAAAAAAAATGAAAAATGAAAATGTCCCTAAACAGTTCAAAATAAATCAAAATATTTTGAAAATGTTATCGTGTATAGAAAATGCAAATATAAACAACCAGTGAAAATTTCATGTATCTACGGTCATTTGTTTTAAAGTTACACCAAAAACCAAATTCGATTTTTGGAAAATCGATTTTGCGTAAAAATTCCCGTTTTTCCTTAATTTTATGTTGTTTTTTCCGGTGCTTGTGAAAACTACTGGAAAATGTTTACTTTGACCCCCCAAAGTACCAACTAGATTCACTTTCCTATCAGAAAAGGTACTATTGAAGAAAATCGAAGCACTTTTACTGTCCCAAAACGTGATGACAGACACAAAAATATAAATAAAAATATAAATAAAAATATAAATAAAAATATAAAAATATAAAAACATACATCATTGTAAAACCAATACATTCATCGCTCCGCTCAGAATCTAAAATAATTTAATAATAAAAAACACTATAAAAATGAAAACTAAAAAATAATTAAATTATAAAAAAACACTGTAAAAAATGAAAACTTTAAATAATAAAAACACAATTAAAACAATTTTGTGCAATTAAATGTTTATAATTAGCACTTTGCAGAATAACCGCAGAAAACAAAAGTAAAAGCGCTTGGAATAAATCGAATAATTAATATTTCTAACAATTAAATGTTTACAATTAGCACTTGGTAGAAACCGCAGAAACACCGAAGTGAGTGCGCAAGGAAAAAGCCGAAGAAAACCGAATAGAAAATGTGTAGAATAACCCGGATCACTTGCGCCTGAAAAATACATAGATTTTACTTTTAAAATAAAGTATAAATATTAATGTATTCAATAATATTTTACACTTTTAGAAATCATCATTAAACTTGTGACAATGACACACTGGCACACATGGATAATAAATTAAGATATTTTAAGAGAACAAAAATATTAAAGACATGATAATTTTAAATTGAAAAAATAAGTATCACTTGTTAAAAATTTATGCTATTATGAAAATGAATTCTAATTTTAAAATAAATTTTTATAGAAAAGTTGTTAATTCTATGATGCCTGTAGCCTGTGCTGACGATTGTCACTTTCCAAATATTGAATATTTAAACAATAAATATTACACATGTATCATTTGAATAATTAAATTAAATTAAGTCTAAAAAGGATACAACAATAATACTGAGCTCAATAATAAATGCAATAATCCAATCCTGTGTACAACAGTAAATGTAGACTGCATGCCACCTGAAAATGGATGGGAAAATAAATATAATGGGAAGTACAAGAGAAAGTTGTATTTACTTATCGTGTCATCAGACTTATTTTGCAACAGCTTGCGAGCTGAAATACTAAAAAACATGAACTCTCCTTCAATGATAGAACTGTGACTGTATATTATGTTTACAAATAATAAACAACATAGAAATGTTTTTGTCATTACTTATGGTATTTAATAGTAACTCAATTAAAGATATTTTTTTTACCCATTTACTGAATGAAATATTTCAAATATAAACCATTATAATATGTATGTATATGACTTAAGTATGTTTTAAGTTAATACTGAGGCCACTTAAGATACAGAATCTGAATAATCAATTACATTAACTATAGTTTTTGAATAATATATACATTTTAAAATGAATATCTCATAATTTGTTGTTATTGTCAAGAGAATATCAAATATACTTAATAATTAATATTGAAAACTTCAATAATTAGAACTTTAATACAATATTACCTTACATATAGAAACAGTTTCAGTTATTCTAAAACCTGTTAAAAACTATTTCTCATCATGAAAATTATTTATTTACCTATGTTTTTACAGTTATACAAACAAGTAACAACTTTGATATAAGTCATAATTTGATATATATTATTATTTATTAAATATTTTACTTACAAAAATAAATAATTATATAAACTCTAAATCCATCTTTTTAATGTACCTAGAATATTTATAATAGGTACATGGGCAGATATCCTATAAAATATTGGGTAGCAAACACATCCCTACATCCCTATCAAACTATAACTGTCGCATGTGTGTAACACAAACATATTTTATTGTCTGTATCATAATATTTATAACATCTAATCAACAAATGTAAAACAATGATATAAACACAGTTAAAATATAATTTTATTTTATTTGATATTGTATACTGTGAAATTGGATACTAGTCAGTATTAGCTCTGTACTGTATAAATGAATAATAAAAAATAATATTTTTATAGGTGTTGAATAATAATAAAAAAAATGTCCATACATAATTATGTAATCTGTACTAAACTACAATAATTGGTTATTTTCTCATTTTAAGGGGGACTTTATTTTCAAATATATTATTTGGGGAGTGGGAATAAACCTACGTTAGATCCCCTCCCCTCGCCACCTATGAATACCCAGTACTATAAAATTGAATTATGACAAATAAATGTATTAATATTAATATTAATTATAACTTAGGTAATTGTTTATACAATACATAGAGTTTTGCCTATTTTTCGTTTGCATAGACACTACCATTCAGTATGTGGATAGGTAAACGGAACATGACATAATTAATTTAAATAAAAACAATTAACATAACATAAACTTACCTGTTTCCGTAGAATGTGATCTCTAACAAATGACATCGTTAAACAGTTTACACTTTTGATTAGTTAATGTAAACTGCAAAGGTACAATGTACATTTGTTAGAACGTGTCTTCGAAATTAGGGCAATTTATAACCTAACTTTAAATTAATATTGATTTTTATAATTCGGTATAGTTATGGTTTCGGTATAATTATCGTGGTAATGACGCCAATAGAATTTATTATTTATTTATATAGGTACTTTTAAAATAAATAGTTATTAAATGACATAGGGCGACATCTACTTTATAGTTTCGATGCAATAGTAGGCACCTTTGAAATTTAAAGAATGCAACCCAACGTGCAAGGTTTCTTATCACTAGCCGCCCGAAATAAATAGTCACCTAGCTTTGGTCACCCAACTTCACACACGTAGTTGAAGATGTATTTTCTTCATTACCTAAGAACTGAAACACAAACAAAAAATTAAGTTTTGAAAATAATACATGTTAGATATGAATTATTAGGTATAAGTGGTAATATGGATATTATTTATGTATTTTTGTTTTATTTGTTAACCTCCAGTTCAAACTCATCCAACAAATCGAGAGACGACTGACGAACATCTAATTCATTCTCAATTGTAATGGTTTCAACAAAAGACAAAGTATTAGAAGAGCATTCAACTACTTTTGAGTCATGTAATATTTTGGCAGACAAAATTGATGAGTCAATCAAACATTCTTCATCGGTTTGTTCCTCAGTATTTCGGTGAACTGTAAATAGTATATTTGAATGTTTTCCCAAAACGTACCAACGTAATCTGCAAGTGATACATAGATTGTATGTGTAATTAATTAATTATTTTGTTCAAAGTCTTTATATTTTAAATAGTTTAGTATAGTTATTGTACATAATTATAAGTATTACCTATATTTAAAGTCCAATGGTGTAGGATGATCATTTGAACCACCCATACCTTTCATATAACTAAAAAATGCTTCAAGACCATCTTGGTTGAGCCGTCGAGAAATTATATACTTTATGTCGTATTCGCTTTGTAGATCATTGAATAGATTTTCAAATGATTTATTAGTTATAAGAATACCTTTTTGAAAAGGCATAAGTGATTTTGATCCATGGACTCTCATATCTTTTATATATTGAGTCATTTTATTTAACAAAATATTTTGATTTATAATGTCCAAGCCATATCATGTCAGTAAATCTGTCTTTTACCATTCTTGTATTCAACAAATCAAACCAATCATTGAATAAAAGTAATACATCGCTCATCTAAAAAGTTGAAACATAATTAATATACCTATTATGTAATAATTTTATTTTTATAAAATGATTAGGCATCTACCTAATTAATAATTATTAATTTTGTTTGAAAGAGGTACTAATTACTTTTTACAAGCTACAGAGAATAAATAATTTACCTCTTGCCAATTTGGAATATGGTCTAACATTTTAGCCTTTCCACAAAAATCTATTGCTTTGGACAACCACTCGGAGAAAATCTGTGCTGCCAGTCTAACATTTTGTCGTTGAGCACCAGTAACATCTAAATGTAACTGATTCATTTTGTAGGCCAAATTAATTTCAGTACAATGAACAGTTAAGAACTTGGCCAGAGTTTCTTTTCCTATATACTTATTATTGTAGACAAACCCATGATCTAATAAGTGATTTCTTGCCAGTTTTATTAAGTGAGGAACATCCGCGAAAAAATGAACATTTTTACCATTAAATGGGTTTTTAAATTATGTACTTTCAATATTTATGTTTAAAGTGTTCCAAAGTGTTCGATTTGTTGGTCCCATATCACTCACCATTGCAACAACCTAAGTTCACAAATATTTTAGTCTAGGAAAAATGTATAAAATAATATTAAAATGTTATTAATTATTAAACTTTATATCCAATTCTTTCCAATGACTGAATTATTTCAAATAGAATCTCCTTCAGTCCTTCGTCATGGGTTCATCAAAATTATAATAAATTGGCTGTTTCCACGGGCTTATAATTCCTCTTGCCATCACCACTTGGACACATTTATGAGGACCCCAAATTTGTTCTCTCTTTTTTTTATATGACATGGTTTTACTTAAATAAGTTTCATCAAATGACAAAACAGTTAATTTTTCATTTTCTGTCATAGTTTCACCTGTTGTATAGAAACATTCAAACATGTGACTAATGAAATACTTAGTCGAGTAACTAATTTAAACTAATTCCAATTTTTAGTGACTAGTTTAATTTAAACATTTTTGTAGAATGGTCTATACCTTTACGTTTCATTAAATTCACAACACTGGTTATAATTCCTGGTTCTAATACAATTTTGGCTGCCCAAGTTCTTAAAGTTGACAATGCTGAAATACATATATTATAATACATGTATTTATAACACTTAGGTGAAATACTCCTAAGTCCAATACATGAAGCAATGTCTTTATTATACCACTTATTTGCACGTTTACCATTAACTAATGTATCAACTTGATTTTTGGTAAAAAATTTTGCACAGATTTCATACATTTTATTTCTAAATTATAAATCATCTGCTAATGTTGTTTGCCAATTGCCGTTCATCTTCAAATTGTTTAATCTTAGATTTCAAAGATTCATTTTCATTATAAATTTTAAAAAATTCAATTTTCATATCTTCTAGCTCATTTTCCAACCTAAATTATTTCACATTTTTATAACACACACCATGCAAGTTAAATAGAAAAATACCTCTCAATTTGTGTCAATTTTTTACTAAAACAGTTTCCAGAAACAAAAAGTTGTTTTGCCACTTTATTCTTCATTTGCTTTAAAAGAATTATTAAATTAAAAAAAAATACAGATACCTACTACTGTTTAATGTTTATTATAATCTTAATGCATGTCTTTTTGGAGTATGTTGATCAATTGTACTCATAATATTTAAATCATTCACACCCTCAATGCTAGTCACTATACTTGTTTTATTTAAAAGGCTAGATTTTGTACTTGATCTGTTTCTTGAAGTTGGCTGAATAAAACAATTTTGTATGTAAAACAATATTCAGTGATAAATAGGTATTCTAAACCAAATACTCATAACTCACTGTAAATGGAGAAATTAGAGAATAATCTGTTTTTTTGAGACTTTTCAAAATATTATTTTCATTGGAATTGTGCGTATCAGTCACTACAAAGTTATTTATACTTGGACTAAATGCTGACTTCGACTAAGTAAATTATTAACATTTATGTAATATTTATATTTAAAAATGTAGGTATATGACGTATATGAAAGGATATTTTTTGTTGCTTACTCATTTTAGCGAGGCTGTGGAAATATTTGTTTTATTAAGACTGTTATCCTCATTATCATATATTTTATTGCCCGTTACTGTAAACTTAATAGTTTTTAAACTAGGTTTATTATTGTTCTAAAATTGTAAAAGATTTATAATGTAAACTTCTAAGTCATAAAACATAATTTGTTTTGTTATAACGTTTTAGTGCCTATGTACTTAATTCTAATTAAATAATTGTATTTTGTTATTTTTAGTTAAGAAATTAATTCTAAAATTAAGTAATTTACTTAATTTACTTGTATCTAATATTGAATAATTAATAAATACTGACACCATAATGAACACTTACACTGCCTTTTCTCCTATAGTTGTTTCCAGGCAAACAAACAACTAAAACTGGTAAGTATTTTGTTGGTACTACATTTTTTTTTAGAGTCTTTTTGTTTCCAGGAAAAAAGTCAGAAGGCAAAAAATGTATCGAACATACTCTTGCTATAATACATTATATACCTAAACATAATACTTACATTACTACATTGAATACAGATATCACTGAATTATCTTTAGAAAACAAAAGTTACCATGCTTTAGAGAAATTCTTGATCCTAAACGTGTTAATTTTAGCCATTCTTTTAATAGGTGTGTTTTAGGAAATCCGTTTAAACCGATATCTTTACTTCCAGTCCTATTAACACATCCTTCCACAGCACAAATTGGCATTATAAAGGAATAAAAAAGGAATAAAAGACAATGATTTTAATATTTTATAAAATAACTTTATTAGTTAAAATACAGTTATAACAGTTAATACTTTATTACAAGTAACTAATTACAATATACAATTATAACAATTGACAAAAGTAATTTAATATAAATTGATAACATAAATATTAGCTATACATACAATATAAATCATAATTATAATAATAAATAAACATAGTTTTCTTGCATATTTCTATAATAAATTAATTTAAGAAAAAGCGGGAACCCATCCACTTTATCAACCCATCCATTTTATGATAACGAAAACAGCTGTGACCACCAGCGCGAACTAGGACCAAAACTCGTATTTTTTTGATAAGCTGCTGACATACCTGGTTAGTTATATCATGCTACCGCCCATCGCCGAACACAGACCACCCTTTGGGGCGAGGAAATAATTTTGAGTATTTACAGTATTTTTAATAATATATTCAATGTAGAATAAATATTATAACTCATATCGATTAATACTGACTGTATTCCGAATCTCATTACATTATGCCAACAAATATTTGGCTGACTGCCCATTGTGATAACACACAATTAACTATATTACTTTAAGAAATTATGATGACATCATAGGAAAATACTTCTCGTGCCGCGAACACTGCCGGTCTCCGAATGAAACTTAAACCTTGTGACTGCAAAATATTTTAGTATTACAAAAAATTAACGTCTTTCGACGATTCAAATTATCAATTGGCACTTGAGGTTTGACAAATCTCAGTGCGTTGTTAAGCATATATCGCATCTGAAAGATTTTCCAACAGTGTGAATGATTTTGTGCCTTGTAAGATGGTGCTACCCTTAAACTGTTTTCGTCATACAATTGAACGTTGTAATGGAGTATTAAAAATGAGGTTTCGGTAATAAACGTAAAATATTATATTTTTTATGAGATTTTAATTTAAATTTTTCATTATTTCAGATGCCTGCTAAAACATCGAACACTTCACTATACGCCAAATAAAGCATCAAAAATTATAAATTCTTGTGTGGTTTTACATAATTTGTGCATTATGGATAACATTTCATTGTATAATGAAGATTTTGATACAAATGAAGTAGACTATGGTATTTGTCAACAAAATAATGTTGACAATGAGCACATTGCCGATAGAGTTAATCCAGAATTAACTGCTGGCCAACGAGCTCGACAACAGATTGTTGACCGATATTTTACGTAATGCACCTCTTCAGTATCAATATTATCTTACAATGGAACTTTATCTATAATGGCCAATAGGTACCTAAATTATTTCACAGGTATAATGACATGTGTTATTTAACATTTAAATTAAACAATTTAATAAAATCAATATTTATATATTAAAGTGTTCAAACGTTAAACAAAAAATTTTGTTATTACAATATACATTTTTAAAAGCCGGAATTTTTTAAATTTTTAGTACCTAATCTAATTATAACTTATTAAAATGAAGAAAAATTAAAAAAAATTACGTATGTTTATTACTGTAAATTAACTTTAAAGCTTCAGGCTTCAGCAATACCTGATTGTGCTGCTGCACTTCTTTCTTTTGCTGCTGTTCTTCGTTCTTTTAGTTGTAATAATTCAGTATAGTATTCATTTTTTTTTTTTATAATATTCTTTAAAAATTTCTGTCATTAGTGGCGATTGACAGCTCTTCTTGAGCTCTAAATGTGTGCTGTAGACGATCTTTTTTGGTCATTGTTTCTTTAACCGACCCTTCAAATTTCCTTTTGTTACTATTTAATAAAAAATATGTAAACAAATAATTTAGTAATATTATTTCTTTAATACAATTTTTATATTCATCATTGATAAGTACTAATGTATTATTCCCTTTACCGATTGATATTTATCTGTAAATATTTAAGACTAAGTACTACAATGTTTAGATTAAATTTTATAAGATTATTACATCGCTGAATTTTGTGTTATGTATTATTATTACTGTTATTATTATTAATATCAAATATTATTTTATATTTTAACTAATTATTCAAACACTCGTGAATCACATAACGATAAATAATTATTCATTACATAGCATGATGACTTGTAAATATTTTATCAGACTGAGTACATAATCATTAAATCATATTACCTGGTTATTAATGTGACTTACAAGTTAGGTAGGTACAACTTACATGCGATCGAATTGCAATAAACTTACGTGGTATTCGCTGTATTTGTGGCTAACTGTAAATCTATCGAACTATTATTATACGAGGTTGAAGTTGAGGGTTGACAATTAGTTTCTTCAACAATTTGGCTATTAAATAAACAAGTATTGAACTATGACATGTATGATTTCCATTTAATTTAGTTTTATTACATATTTGATTTATCGCCAAAATCAAAGGAAACCTTCGACTCTGTTATTAAAGGGTCACCAGAGATTGGTACCTCACCTATTAGGGTGACCACAGTTTCACTAAAATTATCTAGTGGGTCAGCAGTTGATGGCAATCCACCGGTAACTTTCAAGCTTTTGTTGAGCTGAGCTTGTTTTTTTTTGCCTCAGCTTTAAGATAATAAGATCTTGCCATGTCTGCAAGTTATTATTTTATAGGAATATAGAAATCAACAATTTATTATTTTCCACATAATTTAGAAATGCACATAGGTATTATATAAATCTGAATTTTAAATAAACTATAATATCACACACTTATACACTTTACACTCTCATAATTTGTAATTAAATAGACTTTTTTAAAAATTTAATTTTGTAGTTAAATATTTTTTCTAATTTAATTTTAAATAATCTTATTATGTGAGTGTGAGTATATATATGATCAGTATATTGGCCATTAGGCATATTCAGTTAATTTTATTTATTAGTACCTATGCAAAATAATAAATACTATTTTATAATCATGATATTATGTTATGTTTTATAATGTATATATTGTGTTCAACTTAGGCTTCTCAAATATTTAAAGTTAATACATATTATGTTAATCACATTGATGTATTAATTGTCACTTTATTTGAAAGACATTTAATTAAATCATATTATTACTAGGGTCAAGTGGGGTAAATGGAAATGAAATTTACATGTTTAACAACTTTTTAAATTTTTTCATATGGTAATTATTTTTTTATTTTTGGTTTTAATAAAAACTATTTAACCATGAACTTATGCGTCTAACATTTCAATCAAAAGTAAAAATAGTTGATTACTTAAAGAGAAAAAAATAATCTAGAATTGCATAAAAAATTTACATTTGCCCCATACTTCTGGGGTAAATGAAAATAACTATTTTTAACTGCATATGTAATACTGAACTCACATAAGGGGCAAATGAAACTGTTCTGTGTCAGCTATCATTATATTATTTCATATGTTCAATACCTACAAATTTCCATTTGCCCCAAATATTATAGTGTGTGTGGGGTAAATGAAAATAAAAGTATAATTTATAGTGTTATATGTCTGGGGAAAATGAAAATTTGTTTGAATCACATAAAATATAATTAAATTAATAAAATAATTAGGTATTCTTTATTATTTTAACATAATTTAGTACAGTAAATATATAAACAGTCTTTTGTTTTCATATATAATATAATAATAATAGTTTAACATAATAAAAATAACAAACTAACAGCCTTTATAGTTTTAAAATATATCACATGAATTAAAGTATGAATAAGTAGGTAATATAGTCCCCTAAACTGATTATTTTTCATTGACATTTATATGTCCAGGAAATGTGTAAATCGTTTTTCTGTTTTTCTGATGTTCAGTTGGCGTTGGTAACATTGCAAGAATCATTTCTACTGTAATATCTGACAAGTCATTTTCAACAATATAAAAATCAGTTCCAATTTCATTATATTTTTTTAATCCTTGGACTAAAATATCTCCATCATATTCATCTACACGTTTAACTAAACACACATACTTAAAATGTTGTTTCTTACGATTCCCTCCAATAAAATCTACTAAAAGAAATACTCCAGGTTTTATTTGGGACCAAATTGGTGTATTATATATAACTTCTTCAATACTTAAATCTAACGAATTGTCATTGCAATCATCTTCTGATGAATGATAAACCACATCATAAATATCATCAACTAATTGTTCTACCACAATATTTTCTACAACTTCTATAGCCTTTTTAGGTCTCCCACGTTTACCAGGATATTTGATTAGATTTTTCTTTGAGGTGTCTTCCTCCAATCTTTTTAACACATCTTCAGTTGTTAAAACTTCACCATACTTTGCTGCTCTAAGACGAGGAACTCGGTCTTTTGTAACACTAATTGTATTGTTGGTTTTATATTGAATTAATTGATTTTAAAAAATAGATATTATATCTTTTGAGCTTTTTGATGTATTATCACTTGACGTTGATGGTTCTAATGAAATTTGATCCTCTACAACTGCTGCTGTAAATGACTGTTCAAAGCATTGATTGTTATTAACTTCATATGCATGCATATCTAATGAGTTATGTTGAATAATATTTGGTTGCTCAATTGTTGAAACTGAAGGATCATTACTGTCCTCATTGGTTTTACATTTTAAGTATTCTTCAAGATCAACTAGGTCAAATTCGTTCACAGGAAACTTATATTTGTCAAAAGGAAACAAACCAGTTGTAGAAAATCCAGATATAACGTTGCTAGGGTTCATTGCATTACTCCACAGTTTGCCTAACATCTCTGAAAACATACCTTTAGTTAAACGGCCGCCTCCGTTACCTATCATATCTTTTCCAATCTGTATTAAAAGTCTGTCCCATGCAGTCTTTAGAGGTCCAAACATACATTTATCTAATGGTTGTTAACGATCGGTAAAATGACTTGGAAATCTGACTAATATTATATTATTTTGAATTGCAAGTTGAACTATGCGCAAACTTGAATGTGAACAATGCCCATCAAACAGTAGTACAACTTTCTGTTGTTTCATATTTCGTACAAATTCATACAAATTACGTACTAAAATCTGGCACTGGAATAATTTCGAAAACACTGAAATTTAGACGAAGGGTGGGGCTGGGGTGACCGTAGTTTTTAAATTTTTGCGATTGACACCGAACGAAGATCGTGCAAATTATAAAAACGGTCGTACAAATTCATACAAATTACGTACTAAAAGATGGTGTAGTTGTGACCATTATTTTATAATTTTTAACCTTGGGTGGGGCTGAAATCACATCACCCCAGCCCCACCCATTATTTTTGTTAATCACGGGTAAACCGAGACCGTACAAATTTTGAAAATTATCATAACAAATTCATACAAATTACGTACTAAATAATGGTAAACGAAATTTTCAAAAATTCCAAATGGCCGGGGTGATGTACGTGATAATGGTGTTGCTAACGATGGCGATAGAGGTGCAACTCTGAAGTGTAGAATACATTTTATTATAATAATATTATAGTAATATACATTTTAGGTAATATCAAAAATGAAATTATTAGTAATTAGTAGAGTACGGATTTTGAGGCGAACTGAAAATAATTCAATAAAGCTCTTCAAATCTTCCAAAAAAGCGTAAAAAAAGCATTAAAAATAGGCTTAAAAAAAAATGATTTATTACAAATAAACTATAAAGTATTAGAAATATTTGATAGTTTATTAAAAAAAGTAGATACCCAAAAAAACAAAAAGCATTAAAATAGGTACCAAGAAAACAAAATACAATTTAGTGTATTTGATCCTAAGTAGTATAAATGGAATTTATAGCAATCAAAAAAAGCAAATGCCTTTAAAATCCGTAATATAGTAATTACTTCATCAAAAATCTAAATCAATAATCTGTATTTTATAGATTTACGTTGTTGAAGTTGACGGCTTTTGAAAATCAAATGAAACAGAAGATTCCATTATTCGCGGGTCTCCTATTATTGGTACTTCACCTATAATACCTACTAGGGATTCATCCAACTTTTTGAGTGGTGTAGCTATTGATTCACCACCACCAGTAGTTCGAAAATTTAACTTTACCTTTTTAGATTTTGCATTTCCTTTCATATCATGCCAAGTCTAAATTATAATTAAATATCTTGTTCATTATACCTACCAATTTTTTTATATTGTCGAATAAATTCCAAATTAACTAATTCGAAATATTTAAAAATGTAAATACTTACTCGACGCCAAGCTTTCCATTCTTTGATTGATCCCGGTATACTGTTTAACGATGCTGTAAGTTCTTGCCATAGATTTGTCGCTTTCTCATTGGTAAATGAGGCACTAAACTTACCTTTGGCGAGGTGAGGATGTGACTCCATAAAATCTATAATTGTTTGTTTTTGGTCACCGGTTAGAGAGCCTGATTTAATTTTTTTTTCTGATGACATTTCGTTTCTTTTAAAGCATAAAAAAAAGCTGATAAATAATCAAACAGACCACTATAATCACACGATTACGACTGTACGGGAAATAACCATTAGGTAAAAATGTACAATATAAAATCAATTATCAATAGGTACGCTTCAAACTTGTTATATTAACATTTTTAACATTTAATGGAATCTCTGTTTATCATAAGTTAAAGCATATTTAATATTTAATTAGGTATAAATGTATAATATAATAATTACCTTTTTTTTTTTTTTTTTTATTGTGGTATCGAGGACTGGAGGAGGAACTATGATGCCAGTACTTCTCCTCCAGCCTAAAATATAATAATTACCTATTATAATATAAAATAATTATGCAAATTTCAGAACTCATCTACCTATAATGAGTACTATAATATGTATATATTTTCACTATAGCTTTCCAGAATATAATATATTTTATTTTATATCTAATAATTTGACGTATTTATTTTATCATATAATAGACGTATTATATTTAGAAATTTAAATGTAAACAATAATATATTAAATTATTGTTCCTATAGTATTATAGTAAGCTAGAGTTCCACCAAAATTTGTTTAAATGTATGGACGACTATACGATGTAGCCATGTAGGTATACGTATTTTAAAATGCTGTTCGTATAGGTTCGAAATTAAAATACGGATAAACGTCATTATATAATGACGTCAATACGTCATACGTACGAATATAAATATAGTACGGAAAACATCCGTATGGCCAATGATTCGTATATCTTAGTTTCGTATGGTTGTACAAAATACCAAATCATGTTCCGGCCGAGGGCCGTTCTCCGACAAATGATAACAACCAATTTTTTCTCTGACAGTCAGAGTGACCAACCATGAAAAAAAAAATGTCAAATCGTTATTTTACTATAGATACTATAGATATCTGATCCTAATCTACATAATTTGAAGTTGAAAGTTTTACTAGTTTTAGTACACGTTTTAGTTTTAACTGTTTGAAGCATGACAAGATATATATTTTGTCATGGTTTGAAGCTTCTGTAGTTGTTTTTTCTTTTCTAAGGTAAGGCATTAAAACCATTATTATGAACATTGTTAAAATTATATTTATTAAAAAAAATTATAAAACATACAATGTCATAAATCATAATACATAAATATAATAGAACTATAAAACACACATAATCATTGTAAAACCAATACATTCATCGCCTATTATATTTATTGTATTTGTATATAATTATATAATAAATATAATAAAACACACATACCTATAAAAAAATAGTCATTGTAAAATCAATACATTCATCACTATTCACTACTAATTGAATTTGTCAATAAATGTAAAAAATTAAATATATAATTTGTCAATAATTAAATCTGTCATAAAAAAGTTGTTAAAAGTATAAAAATTGTATAAAAATAATAATAAAATTTGAAATAAAATATTTTCTCAGGTTATCATGGCTGTGGGCCAACTTGTCCATGCAGATACCCATCCATCATATGGCCTGCTCTTTGGAGAAACATTAAGAGATTCCCATCGTCATTGAGAGTATCAATATACTCTCTAACCCTCCGAGTAGCATCTGACCGTTGTACTCTAGATGTATGATTTCTTACCTAAACATTTAAAAACAACAGTATAAATGAGTAATTACAATATAAGAGTACATAAATTTAAAATAAAATAAATTCATTAATCTACTGTTAGATTTCTTCGAACTTGGTCCATCTCAACGTAAAATTGATTTTCAATCAACAACAATTTTTCTAGAATAAAAATAAAATAAACTGTAATAGTTATTAGCTGAAAGTTCCAAAATAAAAAGAATAAAATAATTAATTGCTTATTAATAACAAATATTTTATAAAATTGAGCTTACGCAAAAAATTCCAAATATTTGGATGTTTTCCCATTTGATTGAGTAACATAGCGTGAAATGACTCTAGGTAATTGTTTTTGCGTATATCTGAACTAAAAAGTATATTATACATTTTAAAACTATTAGGTTAGGTATATTACTATTAGGTACCTAGAAAAAAAATGTTTTTTTTATATAATTCTCATACCCATAGACGCTTATAGAGGCAGCGCCAATTTGTGTAAGCCAAAATTCCTGAATATAACCATTCAGAAATACTTCCATCTGTTGATAAATATTCGGATATTGATTGGCAAATTCACCAATTACCCAAAATCCATCATGTATTGTAAATGTACAATTGGGATGTACTTGAGCAGGTAAATGTGGTAAAGCTAAGATCTATAACAGACATTTTTGTAAAACAGTATAAGGTATTAATATTTTATTCTTATTAATTTCAGACTAAATTACCATGCGCAATATTGTAGCTGCCTCAGGATTCGATTGGAATAAATGGTAAATACTATTTAGACTTCTTCTACAATACCTTACAAAAGCCTAAAGAATATTAATTAAATGATGTACATTATATCAACTATTCTTAATAAGAAATAACTTGATTGATATAAAATACTTAAGTACCTTAATACTTTACATTACTTACTTGACAGTAATGGAACCAACAACCCTGAAATCTGCTTTCAGGAAAGGTTGATTCTACTGCATTTATTAACCCCCTTTCATAATCAGATATGATTGTTAACTGGGCATAATTCAATGGCAAAACCTCACGAACAATCCTCAAGAATGACTCGCATGTAGCTTGAGTCATTCGGGAAGTCAGCGCATAAACCATCGGAAAAGACTTAAATAGAAAATACAGTCAATAGGTATATATAGGTACTTGAGAAGCTATATTTATTAATTTACTAATTATACTTACTACATTTTTTAGAACCACTTGAAATGTTAATAAACAGCCTTTGGTTAGCTGTGGTGGACTTTTTGGTACCGTTTGAAATGTGCCGTCAATTCCTGCAAAGGTTACAGTTAGCAATTCTTCTCTATATTTTTGAATCGCATCTAAATTTGAGAATATGACGCCAACCCGTTCGCCTTCTACCATAAACGGTAAATGTTGTTGAAAAAAACTAAATAAAAATATATTTAAATATTTTATTTTATAATTTTATAATTTTTAATAAATGTGAAATTTTACTTTGAAGACGGATTCTGCATTGTTGTTCCATATGCTGAGTTTTGATGCTGGCTTAAGGTATCAATCAGTTCTTCGACTGTAGATGGATTGTTGGGATGACGGCGCCGACGCATTTTTTTTACACACATTTGTGATTGTAAATAGGTGTAGTTTGTTGCACCTTCTGGATTTCTAAGGCAGTAATGAAATATTCTTACTTAATTAATAGTATAGTTTTTAGTATATTAAGTAATATAGGTGTATAGTTAGATTAGGTTAGGGTAGTTAAAATAGCTATGCATATTTTTTATTATTACTATTATATTACTTTTGTATTGGTCTTAGGTTAGGTCAGTGGCGTATATAGGAAGTTTAGAAGGCCATGCAATGCCAAAAAATGGACACCCACCCACAGGCCACAGCCCAAAGGGTTGGGCCAGCTACCATCTAAATATAAACTCAAACATTGTTTTTGTTTACCTATTACTATTTGATTTTTTTTTTTTCTAAAAAATTAATTCTTTAAGTAAAGGGTTCTAGGGTACTTACATAAACAAATAAAAACTAATTTTATATTATTGGACTTCCACAATTAAAATAATTTAAATAGAGTAACTACTCCTAAAATTTTTTAATTGACATTAAAAAATAAAAGAGTATCAAGTATTTGGCATTATAAAGTAGTTTATAACCATTCAAAATGTACCTATACATAATTCACATATATATTTAATTTACATATACCACAGAGTAAGAATATATAATGTATATGACATATACATATTTAAGTTTAGACACTAAACACTAACAGTTACCAATAAAAAATTAACTTTAATTGAAATATTAAACATATAAAATAATTAAAACATTTTTTTTTTTTACAATATCTTAAAAATATCATATTCACAATTTACGACTAACAAAATGTTCTTATATACTACAGTCTACAGTGTCTACACATTATTATATAAAACACAGAATATTATTAATTTTTAAAAAGATGTGGTTGATTATTCCAAAAATACTAAATATGTAAATTAAAAGTACAATAAATGATTAATTATACTCGTAAGAGATGAAAAATTAATAATTTAATATTTTAAACAATAGAGGACTAGTTTGACTAAATAAATTGAGTACTTCTTCATAATCAATATTAATATCATATTCACAAGATATAGTCATTAAACTTTCTAGCCTATCATTTGTCATAGTAGAACGTAGTCTACTTTTAATTAATTTTAATTTAGAGAAACTTCTCTCTGTAGAAACGCTTCCCACTGGTAATGTCAATGATATTTTTAAAAATATGTATATATTAGGAAATATACCAACAAGATTATTTTTCATGAACATTCTAAAAAAAAAAAAATAAAAACATAATTTAAAGATACAATTAAATTGATTAATTTCAAGGTAGTTAATGAGACCAACCTTTTAAGTATAATACTAACCTAAATATTGGTAGTAAACTTCCGAGGTTTTCATTACACGCATCATCTATATCTTCATTTTCTTGACAACTATCACTGTTACTGTTATCACTGATATCATTATTTTGATAATCATGGAGACTGGTTGGGAGTTAATTTGTTTTAAAAAAAGCATCAATGCATTTAGTGAATGTCAAGTACTCTGATTAAGTTCATTAATATTCAAATACTTTCCATACACACCACAAAATGCCATAAACGCATCACTAGGAAGTCTGTTTGAGTCTAATTGAACTTCTTTAATTCGTTTTTTAGTCATGAGTGCAATATCTTTATAAACACCAATTTGCTGTACATTATTTTCACTTTGATCAAAAAACCGTCGATTTAGTTCAGAAGTTACTCGATCAATAACTACAAAAAAGGTATTAACACGGAAATTTGTATTAGAGCATGCCAGTGGCTCATCCCGACTTGTTTCTCCACACATCACTTTTTTTCTTCTAAT